GTCTCACGAGGCTAGCTAACATCGCTAAAGAGTTTGAACTCCATCAAAATATGAGGAACTGTTCTGAAAAACTCAGTTCTGACCTTTCTAGATAAACTTTACCAATTACAAAATGCCTAAGCAGTCAAATTTTGGGGGCAGAAAAATATCATAAGCTAGCTAATGGGTAATGCTCATCTATACATATTTTACTGGATGTGATTTGGTATCAGGTCGGGATTAGCAAAGACCCATAAAACATTTAACCAAAACAACAGCATGTCAAGTAAAAATGTTTGTAGACATTTTCTTTATGATGATGGTAAAATCATCTTTGAAATATCAATATTAAACAAAGAAGCAAAAAATCTCAAAGTAATAAAGTCTGAATTACTCGTTTCTTTATTCAGTTTTCGATGAATATGAGAAGATTGCAGAGATATCTATAGAGGAGAGCATTAAGAATGAGCTGTCTGGAGACTTTGAAAGGCTCATGCTGGCTGTTGGTAAGAAAGAAAAAACACATTTCAGACATATTTCATCTTCCAGTGAAGAAACAGCGGAGTTGTTTATATAACCTGCTCCTGTTCCGTGTATTTTCTACCAGTCCAGTGCATTAGGAGCGTTCCCATGTTCTTCGCCAGGCGCCTCTACAAGTCAATGAAGGTATGAGCATGTTTGCCTCATCAGTTGTGGCTACGTTTTCCATATATGGGGCCTTGTTTAAGAGAATGCTCAACATTTAATTTTCTATATTTCCTTGTCTTGTCTTTTGTTTTTAGGGCCTTGGTACAGCTGATAACACCCTCATCCGCATCATGATATCTCGCTCTGAAATCGACATGCTGGACATTCGAGAGTGTTTCCGTCTCAGATACGAGAAGTCGCTTTACAACATGATAAAGGTCAGGAAGGAACCAACGTTGACACATTTCATAACGTAGCTCGTCTCTGATGCTAATTTGTCTTTACTGCATCTTAATCAGGACGATACTTCAGGTGATTACAAGAGGACTCTCCTCAACCTGTGTGGAGGCGATGATGAGTAAGTTAAAACCTGGCTGCAAACGCAGCAATAACCAGTAGATGGTGCTAGAGTACCAACTCTTACCTTATATTGTTAGAGTACATGAAGCTCAATGAGCTGTAGAAAATGGGAGCAATATGTGTGAAAATTAAGGTTGCACGCAAAAATTAAACTCCTGTTATTGAAGCTGCGTTGGGGGTGACTTTATTTTACAACTTATAATTCCTCCTAAAAGTAGAGCCAAGCTTGAAATTTTGGCTTTGCTGAGTGTGCAATGTTGTGTCCGACTGACTGTTACAGCTTAGCTGGAGAGTTCTTCCCCGAAGCCGCTCAGATAGCCTACAAGATGTGGGAATTAAGTGCCATGACCAAAGTGCAGGTTTGGATCCCATCCGCCCTTTAGATGTGTCACTGCATGTTTGCCCCAGCATTACCCCGGAACCTCAAACACCTGCCGGTTCAAAAATAATGTGCTTCTAACTGAGCCATGAGCTTGTGCTGCAGCTATGTGTGCACAGCGAGGGCTTTGTTTCACCTTGGATATGATGGGAATGCTGTGTACCGATGCACAAATAGGTTTTGTTTGTGAAACCCTCCATCTGCAGATCAGCGTAGCATTGGAGGATGAATGTCAGGAAGGTCTCAGCATTGTTACATACAAAAGACTGTCTGAGTAACGCTTTCATTCCTCGTGTTCCTCAGCCTACCGACATTCTCTTTGCTTGTGTTGCTGTGAATTTTGACTTCAGGAGGGCGCCTGCCCCCTCAAATGTCAGGAGATTATTATCATATGGCTAAGACTGCTGTTTCAGTTATAATCAGCTAAATAATCTCTGAACAGGTCAAATTTTCCCTTTTGCATGTTGTGCTGACCTTTTTTCTTTTAGCTCTAAGCTTGCACATATTATGTTTCTAATTATGGCCGTTTGAGTTTGTACCAGTAGCTGTCTCTCTTTGATAGCCACTCTCTCTATTGATAGCCATTTTTCTAATGTAGTAAATTCGATTTCCTCAGCTGAGGCCCACAGTCCGTCCTGCGCCTGATTTCGACCCTGCAGCTGATGCACAAGATCTGCGGAAAGCTATGAAGGGTTTTGGTAGGAAGCACTAATACAAATTTATTTCTATTACGAAACTTGCATGCTTTCATCCAGGCTTTTTATTAATTTACTTGAATAATTCTCCAAGGATCAAATAATGATACAACTAGAGATGCAACTAACTAATATTTTACAAATCAATTAATCTGTTGATTATTTTTTCAATTAATGGATTGATATTCAAATTGCCAAAGATTAACTTTTCAGGAAATTAAACCAGGTGAAACTCAAAATTTCCACTTGTGGAGTTCTGGATTAAGCATATTGACAGAAGAAAACATTTTCTTTATCTGAATTGCAGAATTTTTATATATTTTTTTACAATCTTGGTATATTTATCGCTCTAAGTGGGTCACTCTGTCAGCTAAAGGTATGTTTTAGAGTCTCTATACTGCAGTTAAGGATTAATGGATTACTGAATTAGTTGATTATTTGAATAATCGATTAATCAGATTAATTTTTTCTGCCCTAGATGCAACACAACTTAAGCACATCTTAGAAAAGGAATATTTGGGTTCACAAGTTGGTATTGATAATAATTAAACTTTATTAATCTCAAAATTACCTCTGCATTTAACCCATCCCCTTAAGGAGCAGTGGGCTGCCTACTCAAGACTCAGAGTTGCAGTCCAAGTCCACTTAAGATGATTGAATTTTTTTTATTTTTTATTATTATTATTATATTTTTTTTATTTTGGAGCAGGGGTAAATCACATAAGGTCAAAAAAGTAGACAGTGCATAAAAATATAAAGCAGCATGCATTCAGATGAGGCTTGCTTGTTAGATTTGAAGTACCCTTTAAAATGATAGAAAATAAAATATTATTAATAATATAATAAACAATAATATGAAATTAATAATAAGGCATGAATGAATAAATATATACATAATAGAAATAAAATTAATGATAAGAATGATAAAGATATTAAATGCAATAATAAAAAGACACTTATATATTATATTATATATAATATAATATTGGAGTGGTGGCCTAGTGGTTAGGGCATAGCACTTGGAATCCAGAGAATACACAGACTGCTCCCTGTGTGCCGCACAAAGGCAGCCCAATGCTCCCCAAGCGGGTTGGTTAAATGCGGAGAGTGAATTTCGTTGCTCTGTACTTGTGACAATGTAAGGACAATAAAACGCTGCAAAATATTAAAAACTATGCTCAATATAGTTTTCACTAAACCCACATTCAAGTATTAAAACAGTTATTTATTTTTTTTTTATCTGACTGATTAAAAATTCTAATTTTAAGTTTGATCTTTTTTTCCATTAGCTCCAAATGTAAAATCATCACTAACAGAAATAAATGCTTGAAGACATCAGTCTGTGTGTCATTAATCCAAATAATTAGATTCCTTATCAAATGTTTCTGAAATAAACTTTTTAATAATGTTCTAATTTATTAAATATGACATATAACTGTTAAATATCCCTTATCCAGCTGTTCAAAGTCGAATACAATTATCAAATCATTTAGTCAAAGTGATAAGTAAGACTTTTAGGCCATTCATATGTAGCAGCGATTAAGCATGGTGGTGGCAGTATTGTCAAGGGGGCTGTTTTTGCTGCTGGGGGTGTTGGCTCCAAATTGATTAACTTTACCTTGAATCATTGGTTTTCCAAAACAATTGGCCTCAAATCACTGAACAAAATTGACCAATCATACCTAAAGGATGTGTTCCTCTCATGACACGTATCACTATGAATGCACCCTGCCACTTCTGAGAAGTCAAATATTCAGCTTCAGTGAGAGCTGCAAAGTTTCTGGTTGTCATGCTTCTGCCTGATGGGAATGTAGGAACATTTATATGATATTAGTCAAAAAATTTAAATCTGAATCTATGCATTATTTAAAAATACAAAAGGTTTTTTTGTTGTAGTATTCTCGTCTGAAAAAAGAATGACTTAAAATAAGTCCTCAGTGGCGTCTATGATGGGTTTTTGTAAATTTCTGATTCCTGATCATAAAGTTTCTCATACAGCATGTTTCATGGAGTATTTTGTTAACAGATTCTATTTCCTCTTACTTAAAACAGGAACAGATGAGGATGCGATCATTGACATCATTGCACGAAGAAGCAACGCCCAGAGGCAGGAAATCAGACAGGCCTTCAAATCCCTGCTGGGAAGGGTGAGCGAGACCAACAGTTTTAAAAAAAAAAAAGGCCAAAAATAATGACGTTTAAGGCTGTTTCACTACAACATAAAGCAACATTGGGATTAAGACATAATGAAAGTTAATAAAGGACTTCCTGCGGTTAATGTTTGAGACCTCCCTGTATTCTCTCGCTTCCTAGGATCTGATAAAGGACCTGAAGTCGGAGCTGTCAAAGAACTTAGAGAGGCTGATCATTGGACTCATGCTGACCCCAGCAGAGTTTGACGCCAAAATGATGAGAAAGGCAATGGAGGTGACGTATGGATGAACTCCTAGCCTTTAATGATATATAAATGACTTTGTTGACCTCAGGTGAACTTTCCATAGTTAAAATTATCTCCTGCACAGACAGGAAACATAGAGATGATATAGATACCTCCATAAATACTATATAGTTTGCACTTTAAAATGCCTAAATCTATTTTTTATAAGGGGAGTTTGCCTGTTTATAGTGGAAAGCAGGAGTGAACATGCTATTCACGCTTTTCACATGTGTTGACAATGACTGGGTTTGATAAAGGTTGATCTAAGACAAATAAAGCTTGACCAGGATCCAAGGCAACCTTACAACCTTCCACAATGAGGAGGAGTTTTAAGGGAGATGAGGAAAAAAATGTCCAAAAGGTTATTGTTTGTAAACTGCATCTAATATTCAGATTTTGGGAACACCAAGTCTCTAGAAAAAATTTATTTAATCTATTCAAAGATTTTCCTTCACAGATTTCCCCTGGATGTCGATGATTAATGAGGGAAACACAACATAGTTCAATCTACAACAGGATTTAAAAAGTTTAGACCTTTACTTTAACAGGATTGGATTCATGTCTGAATGAAGATTTAAATTTGGTTTGCGATACTTATGCCATTACTCAATATGTATTTATAACCAAACGGGTTTATTTATGACTAATCTGGTGACGCTTTCATTTCCTCAGCAGTACAGAGCAGAATCCTCCGTGGCTTTAACCAGGCATGATACTAGTGCAAAATACTGTTTGGCAACTAGAATGGTCCGATGTGAGTTTTAGCACAATAACATTGAGTAAAAAAAACACAGATTAATGAAAGAAAAAAAGAAGCATTAAATAATTTATATGAAATAGATCATTAAAAGTTATTCCATCATGGTATGAGTAAGGGAGCATTTATGCCACCTCTGGATTATAAATTTGAATTTTTTTTCATACTTAAAGCAAAAAAAAAAAACCTCACATTTTATATGACGTTTAAGTAAAAATGCAAATAATGCAAAAAACATATCTTTTTGACAGGCTGCTATTTAGGGCCTTAAACTAGAAATCTAACAAGCTGATGATATCAGAGTTAAATTGGTCAATAGTTGGACAATCTGAGTGTCCAATCTGCAGTAAGGTTAAGAACAAGTTTTCAGCCTGTAGCTTCTTATTCTAACTACATCCATCCATTTTCTGTCACTCTTATCCCCGCTGGGGTTACGAGGGGTGCTGGTGCCTATCTCCAGCTATCAATGGGTGAGAAGCGGCGTCCACCCTGAACAGCTCACCAGTCCAATGCATGGAAACACAGAGACAAACAGGACAAAAAACCAATCACTCACACCTAAGGAGAATTTAGAGAAGCCAATTAACCTAACAGTCATGTTTTTGAACTGTGGGAGGAAGTTGGAGTACCCAGAATGAATCCATGCATGCACAGGGAGAACATGCAAACTCCATGCAGAAAGAGGGAATTGAACCCATAACCTTCTTGCTGCAAGGCTACCTACTGCACCACTAATGTGCCAGATTTATTTTATTCACTAAGCAAATGAACAATGGCGGTGAACATTTTTAGCTAGCTGGCCGGCAGTGCTCAGCAGCAGTAAAAGCAGGAAGCATTTGAATAGAATTTGAATATAAATTTATACCGGTACTGCTTCCTAAGTTAAATTAAGTGACTGCTGATTACAAAAGAAAACAGAGTTTGGAAATTGGCTTATTTAAAGGGTTACAGTCCATGTTCCTCAACCAGCTTTTACACTAAGAGTTGCTTTATTTATTTACAACAATGATGCTAAAATGCAGTTAGTTTACTATTGTCAACTTGAACAAGTGAATATCTTTTACATATTAAAATGTATACAATGTGAACCACGTATTGGTGTAAAACACCCAATTGGTTATTAGCCAGCTAGTTAACCCAGAAATCAAAAGATCTGTGCCACATTTCTCTCACGTTTCAGTTTCAACAAGAAGTTAACGGTTGTGGTCGCGTTCTTGTCCTTGATCATTTTGAAGACATTCCACAGTAAAACTTGACAACTTAAATTCTGGTCTAGTGGCTTCTCAGATTCCCCCCCATTTTGTCCTGTGAAAAAGCAAAACAGTGACACCTTAACCCGCCGTTGGGCTAATTGGCCGTTCTAAACCAGATTTACCAGGGAGGCATGGGTGGGGCCAATGTTTTTTTTTTTTTTTTTGGGGGGGGGGATTTATTAAGTGAATCAAAGAGCCATTGGCTCCGGAAACCTCAGATCTAGCAGATGAAAACAGTGACTCTATCTTAATATGACTGAAGCTAAAAATTGAGTTTCAGTGGGCCTATTAGTTGCAGTTTGTGTTCTGCTGCATATTATAATGTATTTATCATCTTTTTTTGTCCTATGTTTTTGAGCATAAGCATGCTCAAAAACACCTGTCTATAACTGCCCCCTCTCTAACTGATAACTGCAGCTTTGTTAGCAGGGGAAACAGTTTCTATGAAGAAACCATTTTCTGCTTTTTCATTATCATGTTGAGCATAAATGAGAACCCTCAAACACAACAAATACATTAAAAGGTTAAACATGTTGGAAAACATAATTTTGTCCATTAAGATATATGTAAAAGAAAGTAATAAGCATTCTGATTTACAGAGAAAAGGGGAATCAGTGTAAAAACGTGAAGGTTGCTGCTGATTGTTCTACTTCCCCTTATTGTGTTTTTTTTTCTACACCATGGAAGTATTTCTATCAGATAACATTTAATGACAGCAATTTATAGCAATGGCAATAAAAAAGTTATCGAAGAGAGCCATTAGCACAGGACAATCGGAATCAGTGTAAAATGATTAAAAATAATTGAATAAAATTATGTCATGAGCCGAGGAGAGATGGACCCAGTATTCAACGAGAGACAGTCAGTAGGAAAGTTCAAAAAAAGTTTATTAAATAAAACAAAAACTAAAGTGGAGCTGTGGCTCGCGGGCACTGCAGGATGGGGAGCGGGGCACCGCCCAATCACAGACACTCTGGTTTAACAGTCCAGTCTAAGAATGTCCCCAAGTGCTGCAGTCCCAGAGGACATGCTGGAAGCCGATCCTGGTCAGGGATCCAGAACCGACAGGAACAGGATCCAGATCAGGCAGGAACAGAAACAGGTGGCAGGATCCAGATTTCCAGGCATCCACAGGCTCCCAGGAGGGTTCAGAGTCTGACAGGGTCCGAAAGCGTGACCAGGTGTCACGCACAGGAGCAGACAGGATCAGGTGCAGACGGGCAGGCTCAGTGGAAGAGGGTAGACGAGACAGGACGTGGAACCAGAACTTGATGCAGGACTTTTAAACTGGTCTCCACCTTGGACCCAGGCTTACTTGGATAAAAACTGAACCTCCCCACATATAGAGCCAAAAACCCAGAGGACTCCGCGGGGGAGGAACAGTGGACGATCAGGAGACGAGACAAACGCAAAAACCCTCTTTCCACTGGCTGCTAGGATCCAGGACATGAACCCAGGCCAAAACTGAACGGACAGACTAACAAAAAGACAAGTAATTATCTGGCACTGAATGCTCAGGCTGAACTGAATATAAACCAGAGGAAACAGGTGAGAGGCATAAATTATAATTGAGGCAGGGAGGGAAAACGCCAGGTGAAAGGAATTACTAAATAAGGGAGAGCAAACAGGCCAGATCATGACAAATTATACATGAGGTTTGTTGTTTTTTTACGACTAGTCAGAATTCATAAAGAATAACTATCAAACATAGACATAAATCCATACAGGATGAATAAAGATACGGTTTTGATTTGGTTTGTTTATGATTAGGAGGACTACTGTTAAAATTAGCTAAAACACAGATATCAGTATTAAACACAACATCACAAGCTGTAGTGAGGTATTATTTTGGAAGTTATTTCCACAAATCTTTAATTTTTTAAACCTTTTACTCCATTAACAGGGAGCAGGCACTGATGAGCATGCTCTGATTGAGATCCTGGTCACCAGGAGCAACGAGGAAATACAAGCCATGAACGCCGCCTACATGGACGGTGAGTCTGGAGTTTAAATCCATCTTCTGTCTCTGGATCTGAGAAACGTTTACAGAACATACGGGTGACTCTACTTCACAGCCTACAAGAAGTCTTTGGAGGATGCCATTTATTCAGACACATCAGGCCACTTCTGTCGAATCCTCGTTTCTCTGGTGCAGGTAACCATCATCATCATCATCTTTATGATGAGAACTCAGTCTATGTATAATTTCCACGCCCACTCACTGGTTGAAAGTCTGGTTAGGTCTCTCAGCTTTGTCTGACTCTCACAGACATAAAGAGCCTCCATGTATTTCCCTCCCAGTGTCTTGACATACTTTATTGTATGGGAGACAATGGTGTTTGTGGTTATCCACTGACATTATGCAGCTTTGAGGTGGGTAGCTCAGAACTTACTTGACCTTATTTGTCATGGTCAGGGTGCAAGAGAAGAAGGGCCTGCAGATGTGGAAAGAGCCTGCGCTGATGCTCAGGTGGTGCATTTTATGACTCAAGCTTTACATAGATATTAATATAAATATATATATTAAAAAAATAATAATTTTCATCCTCTGCATTCCTAAATAATAGGAACTTGCAGATGCAAGTAATGCAGAATCTGATGACATGGAGATGAAGTTCATGAGCATTTTGTGCACCAGGAGCTTCCCCCATCTCAGGAGAGGTAAAGGTCAAATCTGAATCAATGGAAATGACCTAATAATGAATCAAAATCTCTTTGACCCAGCTTGAAGGTTTGCATTTTCTTAACTCGTGACAGTGTTCCAGGAGTTTGTCAAATGCACCAACAAGGACATTGAGCAGATCATCAAGAAGGAAATGTCTGGCGATGTGAAGAATGCCTTTTATGCAATAGGTAACTGAAGCATTAGATTTAGAGTTTCACTATATTTGACCTTTCGGATCGGACTTTGCTGACTTCATGTGTTTTTAAGTCTTTTGTCATTCTCTGTTTCATTTTCAGTTTGCAGTGTGAAGAACCAGCCATCTTACTTTTCAGACCGCTTGTATAAAGCCATGAAGGTATTAATCAGGGGTTTTTCATAGAATATTTTTTCTTCTGCCTGGGATATGATTTGGTATTAATGCACATTAAGATGCAAGTTATAATGATAATGGTTTGGACTCCTTCATTCTTTGAATAAACAGTTGGTTTTCATTTAAAGGCACACTGCAGACTTTGTGCCCTAAAGAGTTGAAGCATAGCAGTTAGTTTAAATGATTCCTCACACCAATATACAGTTCTTAACACTATCAATGCTATGAGCAAGCTTCTTCTCTTGAAATACAGTATTTGTAAGTTGGGAGAAGACGTACCGTCGTTGGCCAGGTCATGTGACCTGGAAGAACACCCCGTCCGACCCAGCAGGAGCTGGAGCTCTGCAGCTGGTCCTCCCCGCCATGCAGCGCAGTCCAGCCTGTCCTGGCGGTGCTCTCCAGAGAATAGCAACGTTTCTCAGGCCCTCCGAGCTGAATCTAGACGCCCGGCGTGGTTTCCAGTCAAACAACATGGAAGGATGGCCGGCTGACTGGTGACTTTTGCAACAGTTAAGCGGCCCTTGTGGCCACTAAAGGGCTGCGTATACTCCTGCAACAGTGTGTCACAGTTAGCTTGTTGCAGGTATGATGCAGATATTTTTGATTTATGCCCAGTTATGAAGCATGGTCTCCACTATGTTATTCCACGCCACAACGCAAGAGGGACAACCACGAACTAGCTAGGATTGTGGGTGTCCGTGTGTCGGTTTGACAAGCTTGTTTCCCGTCTATAACCCCTCAACGCCGGACGACCACCAATGAGTCTTCCCGACAGACTGGCTTTGGGCGCTGCATGTTTTGGTTTTGAGTGCAAACCAACAGAACGTCTCACAGAGCTACAAACCTGTATCCTACACTTTGTCTGGGATAGTGTCCGAGTTGTGCCAGGCATTGTGGACGGCACTACAGCCAGTTTCTGCCACCAAAACACGAAATACACATAGTGTAGGGCAAATGTAGAATTGACCAATCAGAGGCCTCCTTTCTCTCCTCCCTATGACACTGTCTACGGCACTGTCTGCGGTCGCCTACAATTTTGGGAAGGCAGATATGTGTGTCACAGTTAACGCATATCTGCGTTAACTGTGAAACACACGCAGATGACCTGGTTTCTGAGCATAAATCAGGCTTAAGGCCTGGTTATACTTCCACAGCAGTGTTGCAGTGAGCTTGTTGCAGATATTTTTGATTTTGCCCAATATTGAAGTGGTGGTCTGCGCTATGTTATTCCATGCCACAACGCAAGAGTGACAATCAGGAACTAGTTGTGGGTCTACTGTAGATACGGCCGAGGCAGTGAGGAAGTGAGGCAAGTTTGTGCAACAACGGAGGGACATGAGGGCCAAAAAGAGCGGGGATCCAGGTGTTCTCAAGCACCTTGTTCTTCTACCTGCTCCAACTTCTCGTGTCGTTTTCCAAAATGGCGATCATTCAAACAAAACAATCCATTAATATACCAAACTGGATATAGTGTAGAGCAGATGTAGAATTGACCAATCAGAGGCAGTCACCTACAATTGTAAAGAGGTGCAGCAGAGTGTCGGCGGCAGGGGCGGGGGCACATTTGCGTTCACTGCGACAGACATGCAGACGACCTGTTTTCTGAGCATAAACCAGCCTTAGGGGTGCTAGAGGTAAAATTTGCAGGTCTTATGCCCCTAGTGGCCAAAAGTTACAGAGAAGAGAGCTACTTAAAAGGTTTGAATAAAATGGGGAAGACGTATGAAACAGTGCAACAAATGACAGGAGGAATTCTCTATATTTTTAAATGAGAACCAAAACCAGAAATTCAATGAATGGAAAAAAAACAAAAAAGAAAAACTTCATTTGAAGTCTCAGCCATTGCTCAGCTCCAGGGTTATCAAAGGTCTAGTGGAGGTGTGACCTATAGTTTCGAAACTAAGAGCTATTGAGTCATACAAAGGCTACCCGCACTGACCTTTGAACCTCAACACTTCAACTAAGTTTCGTGTTTGAATACATACTTTTAATGCTCTTCCTTAAAGTTATTTTTAATTTTATATAAATGCAATGGGATCAAGAAAAGAAACCGATGGAATAAGATAACATCTGGTGCAGCTCATTGAGCGGTTATGCTATTTCTAGAACAGGCTCGTGGGTGCTCATGTTTTCCTTGGGGTCTACATGGTGCCTGCGGGAACCGTGTCAGTGAAGCTTGGTGGGATGCAATCATTACTGCAACAATTATGAAACACCCATGTGATGCTAAGCTAGTGGGAGAAAGAACCCTCAACCGCCCACTGTTGATTATATGCTGATTAGTCCTCAGTTTGCCAAAGAGTACAGTGACTGCTCCAAAGAGAAACCGTTCTTTCTCTCCACCTGTCTAGAAAAACCCAAGCACTAAATTTAAGCCATGATGTACAGGGAGGCATAGCTATCCTCATGGGAGGATGTTTCTGTTTAAATACATGTCTACATGAGCTAGGAGCTGGTTAACCCCATCAAGGCAGATTTAAAGCACTTTAAGGCCCCGTCCACACAAAGTCAAAACGAACACGAAACGCTAATATTTTCCAGAACGTTTGTCGTAAAGACGGAGACGTAAAATAAATGTGATCGTCCACACGAATGCATGAAAACGCTGCAAAATGTATGCCAGGCCTGTAAGTGGCGCTGTGGTGCCGAAGCAAAAATAGGCGACGAAATGTTGGGCATGCGCACTAATATTTATACATGGTTGCCCTGCGGGTCCATTTTCGTGTTTCAGTCAAATTCAGGTGCTGAACTATGTCGTCGATATTGCTCTGTTCTTCCTGGAAATATTCCAGAAGAAGAAGATTCTGTTGTAAGCCCGACAGCAGGGTGAGTAGCATGAGCAGCAACCATTCAACACAGTACGGCGCCATTGTTGTTGTGATACTGTGTCGCGCATGCGTGTTTAGAGGCGACACTATGATGCATGCGTGTAAGAAAAAAAATGCGGTTAGAGCTTAAAGATGGAAACACGAAAACGGCGTTTCAAAATCTTCCCACTCTGAAGGCTTAATAAAAAAAGATTGTTTACAGACCCCCGAAACGCCGGCTTCGTGTGGATAAGAGGCTGGTTTGGTGAAAAGAATTTAATGATTCTCAGGAATGTTAAAAACCTATTTTTTTTTTTCGAGATTTATCAGAAGAGCTTGAGTTTTTTAAAGAATAACATAGACATTGCTAATTTTGGGTTAGTTGTTTTTTCCTTATGCTTTAATGTGAAATTTATTCATTTGCAAGTAAAAGCCATTGTAAGAATTATTTAACTTGTTTTATTAATAAATACTCTTTTATTTATAACTTTGGGCTTTTATTTATATGGTATTAATAAGTTGCGTAAAATATTGTAAAAGCAATGTTAAACTAAAAAGGAATCGCTAAAGTCTCCATTGCTCTCAGATTTTGAAGTTGTCATTTTCAATTTAAATGTAGTATAAGTCTGAATAAATGAAGTATGCACAAATTTGTTCGTCAGGGTCTTGGTACGGACAACAGAGCCCTGATCCGCATCATGGTGTCCCGTAGCGAGGTCGACCTCTTCAACATCCGCAAAGAATTCAAGGATACACACGATGTCTCCCTCCATGAATTCATCCAGGTAGAGACTATGATTGTAAGTCTATGTCTTTGCTTACTAACACTCTGTGTTCATTTTGTGCTCACCCTACTTGTGTTTCTGCATGGTATATTTTTTTTTTTTGGTCTTTTTTTTTCCCTCAATGCCTTTCAGCTGCTTTCTGCTAGCATACGTTTGCAGAGCTTTGAAATGCTGCTAGTGTGGTGAGGTGGTGGGGTACGGTAATCTATAGCTTCCTGCGGTGGACTGCAGGCATGTGGCTACCGCACAGCTGTTTAGGAATTTCCCTAACCCAACTTCCTCTTTGTATTTGCCTTGTGATTGGTTGGCGGTTGCAGAGATAGGAAGTTCCTAAAGGCAGTTCTATAATAACTTACAGATGAAATAACTCTGACACCAATACACTAGCAAGCAGAATGCCCTGGAATAACTTTTACAAAATTATTATTATTAAACAATGCAACATATATTAATATCAATTAATACATTTCTAAATTGATGCAACAATTATTTTAATTCCAATTGTTATTAATTCTAAGAGTGGCCTATATCCACTTTCATTGCCTTGGACATTTTTGGTGCTTTTATTTGCAGATGATACGCTGCAATATGTGAAAAATAAAATAGTTTACCTGATGACATCAGAAGAGAAACTTCACCTCAAGTGGGTGTAATGTGAAGTGGGCACAATTGTGGATTTATCTAAAATCACGTCAAACCACACAAGGTGTTTAAAGCAAGATTGAACATGCATGGAAGGGCTTTACTAAAACGTGAGAGGAACAACTAAGTACGGGAATTTTTTTTTTCATTAGCTTCTGCAGAAATGCAGTTGCGACAGAGTTATTGCATTGTTGCATCAAACTTCAACTTGTCTTCTAATGGTGTCCAATGCTTGATTATGTTTAAAACACAATATTATTTATCTATATATGTGGTATCAACAAGGTAATTACTGAAATAAGGAAAACTCTTCTGAATACATTTAAAGGGCATTGTTCCTATAGCAACACTAATATTCTTTGGTTACAAAAAAGGAGTGCCATGGAGAAGAAATGACCATGCATGTACAGAAAGAGCATTTCAGAGACTAGGATTGCAACTTAACACCAGTTTCTTTTTTCATTTTCATTGCTTGCTGCCTGCTTCTGTTTTTTCCAGATTACAAAATAGTATTCAACAATTGGCGGCAGGAGAACATGGAGAAAACACCTGTTAAAAATATTCTAGAAAAAAACACAGGAGGCAAAAAAAAAGAACATGTTTTCACTATTTTTTGACACTTATCTAAGATTTCTATATTCAGAGCAATTTCTTTTAAGTTTATTTCTGTTGTAGTTGCTATTAAAACCACAGTCACACAGCTACATATCTGTATCTCATCTCAGAGACACACAAATAACTACAGCTTTCAGTAGACAACAGTTTATACTCAGCTCTCTTCATCTACACGGTGCTCCTTTGTTTTATTATGTTGAATGTCATAAATTCCCATGGCGTAATCGTCAAGGTTAAATTATGCCATATAAACCACACAAACAGAAGCTCTGCTGTAGACTTTACTGAGGTGATACCTACATGTCAAGGCAGTTAACGGTGAAAAATGTCACTTTATTTTACTCTGCCTTTGCAGGTCCTCTGTCTGCCTGCAAAAATGATCTCAAAATGAGTAAAAATGTCTTAAATTAAGGGTATTTACCCTTAATTTGAGCAGGTAAATAAGATGATTTGCCAATGGAATTAGTATTTTTACTTTTAAAATAAGGGTTCTAGATAAAATGCACTTGAAATAAGACGATGCGATTGTTTTTTCTTATTTTAAGTGTAAATAGTCTTGTTCCATTGGCAAAGTGTCTCACTTAAATTCTTAATTCAAGAAAAAATGCACTTATTTTTAAGAAGAAATGACTTACCGGTATTTAAATTTCATTTTTTGTAGTGTGTGCTAATAAAGATTTTCATCATTCATCTGAGTATGCTGAATGCTTAAAGCCTTTCCAACATACCTTCTGATTAATTAACCTCCTCATTTTTGGACCAATTTGGGACACTTATGGAGGATAAAACTTTAATCTGCAGCATATCAGATGATTATTAAATATAGTAATGAATGCACACACTTCAAAGATTTCACATCAGCTTAATTTCCTCTCACATAGGAAACATGATCAAGGATTTCTTTGATCATGTTGTGCCTTGGTTAAAAAAAAACAAAATGTGGCAGGAACTTGAGGAGAGAAATCACACATTAAAAAGCGCTACATCAAATAGGTACATTCATACTTACCAACTGTTTGCTGATAGGTTGACCGCGGGACAGAGTCAAGCTGACTGGGAAGTCAGTCAAAGGCATCCTGTTTCCCTGTTGTTGCACACATATGCCTAGCACTGAGCAAACTTCCAAAAAGAAAAAGAAAAGATTTCAAGCTACAGATTACATAAAAATAAGTACAATCGGTATCTGATTTAGCTGATTGGAAAGCTGATTGGAAAGCTGATTGGAAAGGGTAATTCCACGTTTGGTTGCTTTGTTTTATTCTAATAACTATTTTAAAGCCTTTGTTCTGCAGTTCTGTTGTTGAGTCAGCTCAAGGTAAACCCCATTTTTCTGTTCCAGCTCCATGATGGCCAAATGTCGCCAGATATTTGGGGTTATTTCCTGTAATTCAAACTCCTGCTGTGTCTGTGTTTCTCATCTATTTTTCAGGGCGATACCTCAGGAGACTTCCGCAAAACCCTGCTGATCCTCTGCGGAGGAGAGGATTAAACCTCGTCACGTCTCTGAAGCTTCGTCTCACAGGCCTCGGTGACCACTGGACGAGCCCGTTCACGCAGCCAAAACAGACGTGCTTATCGTCAGTATCTGTTCCTAACTGCTGCCACTCCTCAGCCAAAGCAGGGCGTCCTGTTGGACGACGACCTCACAGTCTTTGTCTTTTTTTTTATTGCTTCACCACCTTACTTACCCCACCTGGGAGGGTGCTGTTTTTTTTTTATACAACACTAAATTTATCGTATCAGAGTGGAAAAAAAGCTTCACATAAAAGATTTTAAAAAGAGTAGTATGAGCTCAAGGTGTGCCTTCAGAGAGCTGTCCGTCCAATTAAAACTGTGATTTGAAATATACCCCAATAAAACAAATACCACAAAAACTTTGCTTTTGACTTTGTATTATTATAGATAAAGACGACCAAATCTGACATAAATGAAGATAAAATAGAAGTATGTATTTAAATAAAAGAAAGAAAAACCCTGATAAGTAAAACAAAAAAGAAAACATTTATATTTGCTTAATTTACCACATATTTTATCATTTAGGCTATTTGTTTTTTGTTAACAGATGGAGAAAGAAAATATAAAAACACAATTTTAAAAGAAAATAATTCTAATTTGAATTATTAAGTTAAGTTATGTGGTAAATATATTATACACGTATTTATTTTAATTAATATTATTTTGAGTTTGGGTCATTTGTGTTTCCTCTATTTTTAATTATGTCAGAGTTGGTCCTCCATATGTTTATAAACCCCCCGTTGTTTGTTTGCATTTAGCATAGTATATATATATTATTTCTGCAGGGTAACAAAGTGTTTAATTATTAAACAAGGAAACTAAGGATCAATAAGGAATCGAGGCCTCTTATGCCAAACATGCTAGTAGATTTTACCATCTGATACCATAGATACAAAATAAACAAAAGTTTTGTGGATTAAAACATGCACAGAAACAAATGTATTTTTAAAAAAAAGGAAGTATTTTTTGTGGCCTTTAAAGATAATTTAGTGTTTTGTTTGTACAGAGATGACAGCCGTTTGCTTTTGTGAGTGTCTCACTTGGTTGCATATGTTTGAGTGCAGCTGTTGTCAGGCCACTTTGAGTTAAAAGAGGAAAGGAGAAAAAAAAGATGTATGTGGTGAGGAAATCCCCTGCAGTACTGCCAAAATCCAAGGCAACAAATAGTCTGCAGCAAGTCAGTCACTTTGGTTTTAATGGCACACCCAAGCTGAAATTGTTCCATTTGATGATAATTGCAAGAGATTATGAGATAACTTCAATAGCGCTATCAATATATCAATATATGCATTGTTGTTGAATTTCCCTTTTAATTGCAGGGGAAGTTTTTGGTTTTAGCTTTTTTATCTGCCCTGTTCTGTGGCAATGCTTGTGCTTAAAGCGGTTTAATGTTATCAAAGCGTTTATGTCCTCAGGGAAAGTTATGGGTGGTGCATTAGCTTTTTACATGTTTAATCTGCAGCTTTGATAAACTGATGGGATCATTATGACGGTCATGCAGTGGAGACCATGTGCTTCACTGCATGCATGCTCAATATTTTTGTACATGAAAGCATCATCTGGTCAGTCATATATTTAAAAGGCTGAAGAATAAAATGGATCTGTATGTGAGGATGTTTTGCTTGTTTCAGGTTTCTCCACCATGCATTCATGATTGCACCAAAAGAGGAGAGTTGAAGGAGGAGGGTGCAACTTACTGTTCCAACAAATAGAAATTAAACTTTCAAACTTTTCTTTGCATGTGTTTGTATTATTCGGTGAAAAGGGAGGCCGCTCATTTGGACACACACCAGGTTGTGTTAAGGCTGAGCCTGCAGTGTCAGGCCATTTTACTGGGTTACGGGAATTCCCCAAGTCTCAGTGAGATTGCTTCCCCCCCCATTCACCAGTTTCCTTAAAAAGTGCCTCTCCGACAGAAGCTGAATGTGTGGGTGAGTTCTTATCTGTTTTTAAACATTTCAAATGCAGAATATTGTAGATTTGCTACTATTGCTCGCACCATGTGATCTGTTTTCCCATGGTTGAGGTGGTTAAAGCCATTTTGTGTTTGTCACTAAATGAACCGTGCAGAAAAAGAGCTACGAGAAGCATTTGTTTCAGTGCTTGTGATCTTCTAAGTGTTAAATTGTGCAGTCTTTCCTGATTATATGACATTGTTATTGTTTGTGAAATTAATTTGAGTTTCTCATAATAGTTTATCCATTTTTATAATGTTATCTTTGAAGAAAAAAAAAAAAACAGCTGTGCAATTAAAGTCATCATCATTTAATATCATTAGCCTCCAATCCCCTGATCTGTAGGCTTGAGTTAAATAATGTCTTAAAGTTTAATGATATGTTTATATGAGCCGAATAGAGTTGAAGAAAAAAATTTCATGATTTATACCCTGGATGTTTTAGATGTTGATTTTGTGTTAAGTTTCACAATCCTAATGAAAATCAGCTGCTGTTTCCTGGAGATAGAAGAATATAATCCTTGTGCATCATTGCGCACATACTGAGTGTCGGATTGAGGCCTCAAACTGTGGGTCACTCTTTTACACCCTCCTTCGGCATACCTCCCTCTCCCCCGTGCAAAAAGGGTTCCAAATGTCTTCAGCAGTCACCCTGTGGAGAAAAAGAAAAAGCATGCAATTTGCTGCCCTACAGGATGAAGCAAAGGTTGACACTTCCTGTATCCTCAGGCTTTTGTTTTTTTTGCATTGGAAGTCCCAGTCATCACCCTGTTTATTGTTTCAGCACATCACAGCACCCTTAGGAGGAAATACGTTGGACTAGCAAATACTGACAAGGTGTTTGGTGGCAAGCATGGGAGAGAGGAAAAAACAACTTTAGTTTGTTTGCCACATGATTTGTCTGTTTGCTTTTTCTTATGGCTACTGAATGGCTCTCAGGGGAACAGGTTTACACATTTAGCAGCTGCAGGCTATCAGAAAGTGTGATGGCTGGGCTGGGCCATACGGACTTAAAATCTTATCACCTTATTTTGTGGTACTGTCGTGATATCAATAAAATTGATGATAAAACCAATCTTAATTAATTCCTTGAATGTGTTAGGTACCTTTATAGCTGTGACTGCATGCCACAGCAACCGTAGGCCCATAATCACAAATGATCCTCAAATTTAATATAGGCTTCTTCAGGACAGCAGCTCTCTGCTTCTGTCTCCTTGAACCCCAGTCGGCCTCAGCAGATGGTCGCTCACACTGAGCCTGGTTCTGCTGGAGGTTTCTTCCTGTTAAAAGGGAGTTTTTCCTCCCTACTGTCACTACAAGCATGCTTAGTGTGAGGGGTTGTATTAGAGTAAATTAGTCAGTGCAATCAACTGGTTTTCCTTAGATAGAAAACTTTGAATCAATTTGACTGTATGATCTGGTTGAACTGTAAAGTGCCTTGAGATGACGTGTTGTGAATTGGCGCTATATAAATAAACTGAATTGAATTGAATTATATTAAGAAGCAATAATATTCTTCCAATTTTCAAATATCACAATGGAAAATATTAAAGGAAAAGAAGAAAAATCTTAAAAGATATATATATTTTTATTATTGCCAATTCTAATTTATTATTTAGGTGATATGCTGGTGAAGATTCTCAGTCATCCAGGTAATAGTCATTCCAAAAAAAGACAAAAACTGGACTTTGTTTCCAAGTCTGAGGACTTCTTCAAACTTGGAAAAAAAAGTCCAGTGGATTGTTTTTTGATTTTCTTTTATTGGGGTATATTAGGTGATAAAAGAAAAGTTTTGTCACAACAAGAAATGTATAGATAAAAAACACGATAAATGTCCACCCCTAGTTTGGGCTGTTGACAAGTTAACTAGTTAGAGGCATATTACTATTAGTTCAAATCAGGGGTCTGCAATCTGAGGCTCCAGAGCCACATGCTGCTGTTTGGCCCCTCTACAATGGCTCTTTATAGTGGCTAAACTAATGTTCTATAATAACAAATACCAGTTTTAGAAGCTTTTGTGTTTTTATAAAGAAAATTGGAATTGGATTTTCACTAGAGAATGACATTTAAATCACCAAAAATTTGTTTTTAATAGCTATTTTTCTTTTATTTAGCTTGTAAATGATGTGTTTTATTATCACTTGTCCACATCAAATAATGCCCAATTGAAGTAAACCCATTCTTTGTTTTTATGAATTGTGTTCTATTTTTCCTTATTTTAAAATCTTAAAATATAAATACATGGTTGATTGTTTATATTGGCAACAGATCTCCTATGGCAGATATTTAATAATAGGTTGATATTTAATAATAGGTTGAGTTTTATTAAAAAGATTTCATATTTCCCATCTCTAAATGAGTTTGAGTTAGCTGGAATCATGTAAATGGTTCTTTGGATATGAAAGGCTGGCTTAAATCAGTATGATAGAGATTTAAGGAGGCAGAAACACAATTCAATTTAGTTTATATCTATAGCGCCAATTCACAACACGTCATCTCACGGCACTTTACAGTTCACCAGATCATACAGTCAAATTGATCCAAAGGTTTCAATCTAAGGAAAACCAGTTGATTGCATCGACTCATTGACTCGAATGCAATGCCTCACATATTTTAGTCTTTCTGTAGAACATTGTTTCCCAACCGGGAGGGGGGTACTCGTGTCTTAGTGGTCTGCGAGTGCATTGCAAGGGGTACATGAAAATATTTAATTTCTTAGGTTGTAATATAAAGTAGTGCTGAGATTTGTTTTGCATTGTGAGGAGCCAATTGAAAAATTAAACAAGCTTTTATCAAACAATTTTCTTATCTGTTTGAGTTCACCTTCAGCTTTGACTCATCTAAACCAAGCAGAGGAACAGACTGGATGTAGAGAACAGCCTGGGATCAGCAGTTTTCACACTGAGCTCATCTTTGATAAGTTTAAAAGTGATTATAAGGGAGTTACTCAGAGGAGCTCCAGTTTTATAAATACAGGTTTATAATATGATTTTATTTTGTATTTTTTTCAATTCCTTACTAATTTCCAGGCAACATATTTATGTTGTTTTCTTTTTTATTTGAGATGGAAAGAATACAGTGATAAGAGTGAAATGCTCAAATTAAAAGATTAAGTACCGGTAATATTGTTTTTATTTTATAATCAGTTATTGTACGTTCCACTTTGGACAATCATCAATACTGCTGACTGAGAAGGGTACAATTAATGGATAGAAAAGGGGGGCACACAAGTCAAAAATGGTTGCTGTAGAGAGTAGGTAAGTTTTTATAAACCTTGCCAAAATCCACACACCTCTGGAACATGTTTTGACCGTTTCAACATTTTGGTACAAGATACAATAGTTAAGAAACTTCAAAACAAATTTGGGCTAACAGAAAAAAAAATTATCCAAGTT